CAGTAGGTTTCATTAAACCATTGATGTTCTAGTATGTATTCAAATGTCAGTAAATGTTGTATCATTTTCATCGCGATTGAAGTCGTTCCAGATAAAATTATAGAAATGCATCCGACCTATCTAAGGAATGGCCTGGTATATATTTGTTGCTTGTCTTTCGTTCTTCATGTGTTGTAATCCTGTTAATTTCAACCATGTGATCTGCACTTTACAGGGCTGTGGGATGAATTAACTGTTTGTGAGGATATGCGTGATTGAATTACAACTCAGTGTTATCGTTGCTCCATATGTCTGTGATACAACCTTCCAGGGTTTACCATGCCTTTTGTACCTAGCCGGCCTGGTAATCGTAATGCACATTTATATGCACTTTACACGTGTCTAGCCCTAACTAATGCTACATTTATAGTTTACAACATGAAGGAAGACAGAACTCCGAAATACCTCTGCGGTATCGAAGCGATGTATAATGCTTGTCCCAGTATTCAAAAAACACATTTTTTGTCTGATTACTTCATGCGATGCAGAATTAATTTGCTGTTTTCTCCGGAGCATCATGTTTTTTATATTGTTGGGTGATAGAATTTGCCTCGTTTCGTTTTTTATATTTATATTTGTGATGATGAGTTTTCATTTACTTAATTGTTACAAAATATATAAATATGTAACAGAGATATTGGCGTTGTACCCATGTAGACATGATAGTGTAATTCTATAATAGACACTACTCCTTTGTGATTTTTTTTATATTTCTAAAACTTCCCAAATATAAAAGAATGTTTAGCCGATAAAATATCCTCGCCAAGTTCTCGTCGACAAATAAAGGGGTAAGACATTATTGCTTTTAATGTAAGGATGTTACTACATCTTTTTGATGTTGGATTTAAAACCATATGAACCTTGTCGATTAAATGTTAAATTGAGGGCAGACGCACCTACTCACATGGTAACAGTCAAAGGGCAATCTCCTATACATCTATTGGTGGGCCTCAATTTCTATATTATTTCTAATAAATAGGTCTAGATTTGATTTTTCGTATCAGCAATAATATATGTATATACTTATATACTAAGTACATATGAAAACAAAATGAGATATTATTTGATAAGAGGTTTACTTTTTGTTTTTTAATGTAAGTATATGGAGTGGTTAATATCAGATAAATTTTTTTCACCAAGTATAATTGGAAGAATTTATTTCATTGATACATCATTATACACAAACTACTTGAATAAAAGAAAGAAAGATTTATCACAATTGATGACTTTTAAAAGGATATCTTCGACCTACTTTCTGAATCTTTTAAGTTGTAACTCAACAAAAACGGATAGACTCTCATGTTTGACATGTCGTAAATTGATAGACATATATAAAAGAATAAAAAGGGCGCATTTTCATTGGTCAAGGTCGGTCATACGGTGATTATCTAAGAGACTACAACAAAAACCTACGGATAGGACCAATAACTCCGTCTCTACTTGAAGGCTTTTTATGACAATATAACTCCTTTCAGTTTTTATGTCCCTGATTGACAAAAAAGAGTCGTTTGATATTTTTTTGCTCGCATCCTCGTTTGATAGCTGGGTTATATGGAAAAACGGATAACATATAAATGTTTGTAATGGAATATTATGTTACCGAATATCCTTGCTTGATTTTCATACAATTTTGACTTCATATACAGCAAGTTACTGGTTCGTCTGTAATGGCTTCACGTCAGCCGTTGTAAGTAACAGACAGTGTGGTATACATTATATATAATGAGGTAAATATGTGTTGTGGGTTGTAAGATACACGTAATCTTGTGGTTTACAAAGGTGATATAAAGCAGATTGAATTGACGGCATATTAACTGCAGGTGTAAGATTCTTTTATATCTCGTGTTTATCTATTGCATATCACATACCGTGAAATCGTATATATTATATGTATAAAATCGGAGATGGTGTCGACTGACAAGCTCTCACTGTTAAGTACATTTTTCACTGAGCTCTTCCTCAGGTCGACCGACATGGTGACAAATGGTGCCCTTAAAGTACTCCAGGCTTTCCTTGGGATTTGTGGTAGTAGGTTGTACCAGACTCCGACATCAACATGTCATGTGTTATGGTCTTACCTATGTTTTACCTACTGTAACGGGTGTTTTTGTTTGTTCATTTGTTTACAGTTAAACCAGAACATTGAAGTAAAAGAGATGTATCTTTTAGAGATAACGCTTTCTTCTATTGTCTTTATTTCTCATGGTATTTATTTTCCCCGATAGCTTTTCATCAGCGAAAATTTGAAGCCCTCGAAAATAGCAATCTTACAGTACTTTGTATGAGATGCTTGTTTCATAATAAGGGATGTTATCTGTACTGAATGTGTACCTGTTATTAGCACTAAATTCTACATCTAGTTTTGAAATATATAGAGTCAGTTGTAAAATTTATCTACCCCGTATCTTCCTCTTGGAAAGTACTTTCGAGATATGTAGAATAATCTTGAAATAGTTGTATCCCCAAAATTTGATTTAAAACATTTTCAAGCTCGAAATATTCAAACCATGATGTCACACGCCTCTCTGTCAGTTTTTAATCAACTTTTTTTATCACACATGTTAGGGGTTAAGTACTAATGAATCTAGTTAAATGTTTTAAAGTGTCTACGTTTTTTTTAATATTTGTTCATTTAGGAGTATTACATTACAGAACGTTTGCAGCCATACTGTCTGTTTGTCCTTGATAACCCATAAACCATGGACAGATTAGCCTCATATCACAACATAGCATCATTCCATTATGTTCTACACTTCATTTGAGCTTGGTACTCATTGTTCAGGCTAAAATGTCAAATGTCATCCTGACCACTATCTAAAAACAAACTTGTCTACTGAACATTTCTTGAATCCCTCAACACCTCAATAGCTTAAGATCAGAAGAAAATTATGACGGTATATCTAAATGAACCCCAACTCACGCTGTTTTTTAACACCATCTCTGCAGCCTTCCGTCTGACAAAACAAATCTGATTTTTGTATCGATGTACGATTTATATTATTTGTTAGTAATGGTAGTGGTTTTTTTTACTTAATATTGTATCAAAAACATAAATTATTCTTATTTGAACAGTTAACAGGTATGAATCTACCACAACCAAGGGTAGATTTTTTTGGCATTAAGTAAAAAGTAATCAGGTATACACTACATAATACGGGTATATATCAAGCCGTTTCCTTTTATTGAAGAGAGTGCTATAAATGTCAGTTCTAAGTAAAGTGATAGTGTAAGGTAAAATTGATAGAGTATACATAAAGAACAGACTGCGCACCACCAACAAGATGAAGTATTTGTGGCGATGATATGTACTGGGGAGCATGGCTCGCTTTACATATTTAATCCATATCAGCTTACTCGTTTTCGTGTCACATACGGTTGACTGCCTCAACACAACGCTTGTCAAACCGTTACCTGAGGAGATTTACTGCTCCGCAATGTAACCCATGGGAAAATTGCGATGTATATAAACCACACAGGATAGACTTTTAAGTTTTTTCAAACATTTTATACAGGACTTGGTATATTAAGGACAACACTCGCATTTAGTTAGACGCTTGTCCTTAACGCAGATACTTTTTACTTCTGCAAGATTCAAAGTGTATTGGATATGTGATGTGATATGATTAATGCTTATCGTAATGTATTATTGATAAGTGACAAAAAGTTTTTTTTTTTAATTTATATTAGTTACCTGTTTTTAATTTGAAACTATTAAAGAAACTCTCTTCTACCCTTTTCCGGCATCGTCTCTGGTCATGTTACATATACAGTATATATGTCATTTTTATTTATACTGGGAAAAACCATGTTTTCCTTTAAAACACTTTGAAGAGTAGATATATGTATCAGATCAAAGTGAAAGTATTTTATTTTGCAGTAATGTTGAATGCCTCGTTATGTCGACTTTAATTATTCCGTCAACTTCAAAATAACGAGGCTGTAAATATGAAGAAGAATGATAACATTATGATTAATAATTAAAGCCAAAGAAATGCCAGATGAAGCACAAAATTAATGCAAAAGAGGAAATAAGAAATACATTGTAAAGATTTATAACTTAAGAGAACACATTATTATGATATACATGTGTTTGCCAAATGAACAGTAATATTTTAATGGTAAATGAAAACTACATTACACAGTATCAATACATGCAGGCAAATTTTCAGTTCCTAAAATGTAACAACGCGTGTGGTAAGGGAAACGCTTGCTTGCAATGTTGATGTACCATCACATAAACCGTTTTTTTAAATCTGATTTTAAGCGATAACGCACCATAAGTCTCAACGTTAAACATTTGATAATTTTGTTAATCCTGTATCATATACTACAGTTGCGTCCGTCTCTGCAAGCGAATATACAATAAGGTTAAGCTTGTTATTTCAGTAACACAGAATATGTAATAAGCTTAGCTTAATTTTTTTTTCGATCCCCACACTGTTTCTAACGTTACTGCAAGGGAATATGTGATAAAGTTGTTGTAAGTTTCAATAACAAAGGAAATGTAATAAGTTTATTTAAAACAGATTTTATTTATCATTCTGATATTTCTACAAGGGAATATATGATACAGCTGATGTAAGTTTCAGTAACAAAGAATAAGTAATGATATTATCTAAACCTATTTTGTATCTTTTCCTCTAACGTTGCTGCACGAGAATGTCTGCTAAGGTTTTTGGAAACTGTTTTAATGATAAAGAATGTGTAATAATATTATTATAAACTGATTTTTATCTATTTCAGCAACAGAATATGTCATTGTTTGATTATTAATGATTGGTATCAATGCTATTAGCCGTTTCAGCGACGGAGACTATGTAGAAAAGCTGTTTAAATCAGAATGTTATCACTACTATTTTCCGATTCAGCGATTTTGCAACAGTGAATGTATCACAAGGTCGTTGTACTTTGTGTAGTAGGGGGATAGACAAGATTTTTATATATGCCATTTTATATTTCAGCAACACAAAATGTGTGTGATGCATGTAACCAACCTCCTACATTAGAGGGAATCGTGGACAACCACTGTCGTGCCCAGTTCGGTAAGTTCCTCACCATTCTCTTTCATGAAACATATGTTCCTTTTTAATTCCTCTCAAGAATGTTTGATATTACATCTGTTTGTGTATAGGATAGTCCATGGCTCAACATTAGGCGCAATGAAAAGTACATTTATTTTTGTATTACCATATATTATGGAAATATACATAGTAATCGAATTTCGTTATCGGCCATGAGAGCGAAATTAATACATTAATTTGTACAGTATGTTATATATCTTCAGATATCAAAAAGCTTTAAGCAAATATATATTTATCTATGGCCGTGAGTTATCATTATCTGTGCGTGTTAAATATTGTTTAATAAGGATGTCTAGTTGTGTATCAGAAAAATATGTTCGGACGACGGCAATGAATGTTCCAAAATACATATTATGGTCAAAGAGCTTAGAATCAAACGTACACATTTTCGGATTTTAATCATAATCATTATTGTAATTGTAACTAAAACATTATAAAGGATGGACAATCATGAATATAGTTTCGAGAGCAATACGATCATTTGCTGGAAAAGACTTATAAATCAGCGTGGAAGGGTGAATGTTCCTCATTTTCTTGACTGTTTCATAACATCAGATATTCAGAGCAATTTTCAAAAATGTAATACCAAATTGTCATATATATTTTTGCACATCAACGGCCCTGCTAGAAACGTTTTGAAATTTCCCTAAATCATATAATCTTCAACAAAGGTTGGTTTGACGATTGTGCTTTAAAACTTGCTGAATGCATAGAACAAAGAATATCTTATGAAGGACAATCATCATTTGAAATCACAGTGTGTTTCTTCGATAGCTCTATAGAAAAAGTTGAGTTTGCACATTCAATCCCTTTACAATTTGAACCAAATCTTTATAAATGCTACATTTTTGCTCCCTCGAATGGTTCTATAGATACAGTGTTGCCGTAAACACTTTACAGTAATCCATGTGCATGATTACATATATACTTTTGTATTGTAAGTCTTTTATAAGTGTCTCATGTAGAAAATGAAACAGGTAGCTTTTTATTATATCAATTAGAATAAATCAATAGATAGAACTGTTTTAACTGGTTATCAGGAGATATGATAAGACATCAGTTCCTTAATTTGATGCATCGATGTTTACATGTTGACATTGTTAGTTAACACATGCAAATATTTATATTTTATTTTCTCAGTCGCAAAGGTCAAAGTGCGAAAGATAAAGTTGAAAAGACTATCCAAAATATTGATTCTCAAGAAGAAAAAGAAATTTTATAAACAAGGCACTTTGACCAAACGAGAGAAGAGAAAACTGAACTTGGTGATCGAAAACGGAGCCCAGTGTGAGTGTGCCACAGTCAATACAAGCAGAAGTGATTCATTCATTATAATGGGGAACAAAACGGAATCCGGAGTTTTCACAGTGTCCTATATCAGTCCTTGGAGGAAAGACAGGGAGTTCAAACGAGCGCTCCGGAAAATAAAAGGTGATTTTGATTGCAGTAAGATTATAGAAATAATTGAACAGCCAGGGGGGAATAACCCTACTCCTCCAATGAAAGGAGGAGGTGGTAAAGGCGGTAATAAGAGGGGTAATAGGAACCGCCCTAAAAAGAATAGGAAGAAAAATAGGAAGAAAAACCGTCGACGGAAGGAAAATAGAGGAAAGGGGCGTGGTCGTAAAAGGTCAAACACTCCTCAGACTACTGAAACCAACACAAGTGGTTGACGTCGCACGTACATGTGGTCAAACAGGCATAATGTGTGACAATGGGTGAGCTGTCTTTCAAGCCAAGAGTTGGTGCGCAAAATACTGCATGGAAAAATTGGAAATATTATCGAAACATTTTGTTTTCAAATGGACTACATATGTTGTTTAAAAAATGAAATCTGTGATAGTGGATCTACGCGTGTTTGAATTCCAAGATATAACGTTTAATGTGAGATGTGTCTTTTATAATTATAGCCTATAATGTATTGCAGGCAAAACTACCTGTCGAGCTGGAAGTATGAGGACCGAGTTATTTGGGTAAGGACCAACAGGCTAGTGTTGCACTTTGAATTCTTACACCAGAAAGATCAGGGGTTGTGCTATATTATGTATAATGCCAATGATTGGTATGGATTTGCCAGTTTGATCCAAAAGCAAAAGACATGAAATAGGATTAAAATGTGTAAATCCACCCATCCATGAACAATTGTGAATGACGTCAAGGTACATATATGGCTAATTCCTTGTAAGCAGCACGTCCTCTCTGTCACGTGTATTACATACCATTTGGATGGGTTACACGTGAATGATTCTTTCTTGGCTAATAGATTTCAGAGTGTACAAACGACTCGAGCCGACTAGAAGGTGACCCCGTACACTGTAATTTACCGATTTCAAAACCGTTTAACGATGCCTTTGTCTTTTAATTTTATTTTGTATTTGTCTTGTAAAATCAATCATGATACTATGATATTTTTGCTTTTAATTGTTTTTGCACGTACAGCATTGTAATGTACAAAGCACCCAGCACGGAACTCATTCAAGTGTGTAGTTGTCCTATGTAGAACATATCACAGCGTGGGAACGCGCGCTCCACAGGACATCGCCATACAGGATGGCTTTAGGAAAAGCGCGAAAAGTTTCAGTGAAAATGTTTTTCTGGTATTTTCGTTGGTGTCACAAGAGGTATTAGGGTGGGATGAATAAAATACCATACGAGAAAATACTGTTATAAGATGAATATCGGTCGAGGAGAACTAACGAGTAGAAATTATCGTATCCCTGTAATAGCATCAGATGTAGTTTTACATAACCTATCAAAATATGTCTCGTACATCTATTGTAGAATATCTGGCGGAGAATTTGATCGGCTTTATTCTTTTGCGATTCTGAAAGATTTCAGTTTTACAGAGATGGGACGCGACTTATATATAGAGAGAATAGATGTGCTTAAAACATTATGGTGAGAATTTGTATGTTCCATCTTTATTCTTTAATAAAAACGATTCGTTTCACAACAAGTTCAACTTCTTACTTCATACAATTTTCACGTTAACCCTACAGATGTTCATATCACGTTTTCATCGTTAGTTGGACGGTATACCAAATACTGTACATGGGAAACGTACATGAGACATGTATATATTGTGTGATAGTTTTTTGTCCACTGTTTAATTATTATGTCCTCGTTTGTTACCCTTCCTTACACGTAACACGTTACCCTACACCAAGTCCTAAGCCATATCAGTAAAGCCCAATACGGCCACTATATGCCGTTATGCATCATGTCCTCACCTATTGCACCTAACTGAAAAACACGTCCCCTGCACCGTTTAATTGTATAGAAAAGGAGACTTGTTAAACACGAATTTCTTTCGCACGACACCCATAATTCATGATTAACACTTGAAATGTAATTCAATACATTATATTTGGAAAACATATTCACATTCTTAAAGTTTCAAACTACTGATGATATAAGAAATTCTTCCATGGGCCTTTTATTGAAATTGCTATATAAATGAAATCTGTACAAATTTCAAGACTTTTTTTTATAGTTATTAATTAAATTGTTAAATGAACTATCACATTAAATAGCTGCATATCTACAAATATCCGTGATAGTTGTTCTAATATTGAACAAGTGTGTAATTTTTCATATATTGTATTCATCAATTTTCTGACATTATTTTTAGCAGTTGTCAGATATATTTTTTTTAAAGGGGCAATACAAACGACACCATACTTGTGTGGATACAGTAGCGCTAATATTTCGCAGCATTTAATTTCAGATTTTTTTTCTGTTGTGAATTTGTGCTTGAATTTTGACAATTATGCTGATATGTATCTGAATATTTATATACAGCACTTTCAAATATTTTTATTGCAATTCGCTTAATATTAGGCGCTATGCACAGTAGTATACTTTTCTGTCATATTTAAAAGTGAAATATTCGCGCTATAATGTATAGCTTGTACACTAATGGTAATTATTTTCAGAAAAAAAGAATATTATTCATGAAACATTCTTATAACACGATGATTGTACAAAAGACACATGAGTGAATAGCACATTTCAATACAAGTTTGGAGTTAAATACAGTAGAGCCAATCAATAAATTCAACTGCATCATAAGATTTTATTACGAACATTCTTAATTCGATTTTGCTCGAGATAAACGAAAGTCGTGGTAGCTGAAATTATCAAATCATATTGAATTCCAAGTAATGAGGTCAAAATAACAGTGTTTAACTTTACATTTGATCTAACTTTATTTTTATTGAGAATATGTTGGACATGTTTTACCTTTTTATAATATCGATGTAAACACAGGAATTCTAACATAATATGGAAACTGGAACTGAAGTAAAAGTTGGTGAATATTACCAATACATGCCTCATATCAAATACATCAACTATTACTCACACACTCTATTGATTTAAATCTTATCTTTCTTTCTGGAATTTGTCTGTGGAAAACGTTGGAATGTATTTTGACAGCGATGTTAATATTTCTCAATCGTGATTTTATCCAAACGAGAAAAATTCTACTTGAGTTGATATATCACTACTTATATGAGAATGTACATTAATATGCTTCAAACTGTAAGGAATTTCTGGAAACATGTTTAATTCGATGTAAATGTATATGAAATATTGGCTTCCACTTATTTTTGCCAGGGATTTCTCTTGTTTGAAAGTAGAAAAAGCTGTTTCTTATATTTCAGCTTAAAGCGATATGAAATTTCTTTATTACTTCTGGAATAGATAAGAATACTGAATTCCCAAAATATTAGCTTTAATAACCATTCAAGTACATGTACTACGAGCAAATTGGAAATGTAACATACTTGCTCACCAGTATTCATCTGTTACGTTCTAGATTTCATTCACTAAATAATTTAAGATATGCAATGCCTTTTCCCTTAACCAATATGCAGTATTTCGATTCTCTTGAAGTTTTGAAAATATATGAAAGGAATTTATAAACATTTCAGGACACCCGTACGTAGGTTGATGATTTCGGCATGACTTTATTGGCTAGTCTTAAAATAAAACATCAAGTGACGATGTTTTCTTTCAATTGTGACGTCACAGTTTACGGGAATCGTTTATCCATCACAAACGAGGAAAACACCTTTCCAAACCCAAGGACTGGTTAACATATTATCCTCGTAGGTTTACTATCAACTTGTATAAAGTATGTTGTAAATTTTGTGCCTAACTCAGCAAACTCTGTGTCTTTATACTGCTTGAAAATTAATTAGTACTGATTTGGTAAACACAATAAGCAACCAAGATTTGTAGGAATTTGGTATGGTCATGTATTGTTGATGTACAGAATGATACACATGCATCGCCTATCAGTGAGCCTGATTCATGTTGTATCAACTTCATAATCACGGTGTTTGGATACTGAAACGTGACAAACAACATGGAGATTGCCTAATTTGTCATTGATATATACATCACAGAAATAGTAAGGTAGCATTGCTTTCAATTGTAGACAACCATCTGGAACCTTTTTAGAAATATTTCGACTGTTCCGTACCTTGTTTGACTAATAGAGTGACTTTGATCCTTGGAACATTTATAGAATATCTACTTTGTGTAAATGTTTGTATCAGATTTATAATATTGTTTCTTTATGTTTTTCTTATTACTTTGATGTCAATAATCAACATTATTTCAGATGCAAATAAACCTATTTATGAAGTCGTACTACAGTTATTGGAATTATCTGTCTGATTTTGAAAAGTATATTTTTTTCATTTTTCATATCTTATTTCATATTGTGTTAGGGTAAAATAATGCCAGGAAAAGATCATGAGAATCAGCTTTAAGAGAGTAAACCAAACAGCCAGACATTCTTAGCATTAAGACTTAAATTCCACAACGAAATAGAAATGTTCTTAAAGACATCATGACGCCCACCTATCAACTGTCTTTAGATATTATGGCCGTATAATATTCCCTGACATATAACAAAATAAAAGAAACCAAGCGAGGTTTGTTTCAAAACCCAATAACGTAGATAGCATACTGTAGGTGTTCCTTTAAGAGGGTGTTCCATCTCTATGATAAAAAATAGATGTGTATGGGGACGTTATGATGTTGGAAAGGGCCAACAGTTCCAGCTATGGTTCGTCTTGGAAAAAATTATATGTGCAGTGAAGACCACATGGAAGAAATACATTGATAACAGAAACAAAGTCAACCTTAACATTAGTGCAACGGTAACATAAATATGTAATTTTCCTACGTTCATGTTCTCATCCAATACTTGTAGTTTTGCTTTTAGGTTGATAGTAGAACTGCGAAAAATAATTTCTGCAAGGAAAGAGCTCATTAACAAGGTAAAAAAGAAATTGGCGTTCCTGAAAAAATAAATAAATAAAAACAAAAATACTCACTGCGGTATACTTTATCAATCTGTAATAAAAGTTCAAATTGACATACAAAATGGGAATAAATACATCTAAGTGTGCTTGTAATGAAAGGGATGGAAATATCATATAAATATGATATTACAACAATTCTTATTTTGGAAACCTGCCATGATTACGACATATATATTTAGACTCTATTGTGGAAACACTTGACGATGTAAACCAACAGTTAGTGAACTTGTTGTCATGAGATCAGAAAGGGCAGGACTTTACTTTACCATCTATAAATCAATGAATCGTTATAATTTTCAGGAAGCATATTTCACGTTCATTTTTATAAATCTAGATACTATTTTTACTATCAACAGAGCTTTATCTATATGTCATGAATCACTTATGAAGGCGTGCACCGTAGTTACTTAAGCTGTCGACCCGACATGGCCTGCTTTCGACATCTTCCCATCAGTGATCTCTTTTGTCGTTTTCATTGACATCCTGGAGATGTTTGAATTTTATACTGTTTGATGCTGTAACACTGAAACACATCTAAGACGCGTTTGTTTAACTTACCTGTGTCAAATAAGAGTGAAATACGTATCCCTTTTATCTCGAGTTTGAGTTTTGGTTCTTAGTTAGAACGGTTTTCGTCTAAGTCAGTCAACAAAATCACGAGCTGATTAACATTTGACTACTATCTCAACATCGAGATCAGATACTGTAATGTATATTGAATAATCAAAATAACTATAAATTTATTCGAATAATGTAATTAACCATGGAAAATGTTAAATAACTTTATCACAACTTCAAAATAATGTGTTCACATTAAGATTATTCACGTATTATCAGCATATTCGAAGTAACGAGGTTTTCTAATTCAAAGTATGTTGAAATATGCATATTTCGAAGCTTTTCTGTACAAGTACATCACATATTAAAATATTGACAGCTTGGTGAAAACCAGTTGTTGCAAAATCTTACAAAAACATAACTTCTCTGTGTATTTAAAACCAAAGAAAAATTGCCCTTTTTTCACCTTTTTATAATTTTGTATAATTTTTCTAATGGAACTCCATATTATCAGTAAACACATACAAAAACGGCATGCTTCTTTATGGCTGATAACCTGTTTTCTGTCTGTTTGACATTATCACATAAATGAAGCATTTGATACGGACTTTTGAAGTACTTCTTCGTCTACACTTCTATTTTTATACCGGAAGTCACTTTAAATATTTCTGTTTAGTTTCAATTAACTGTCATACACGATGCTGAAGAAATCAGCGTGATACAGAACATGTCCTATGATATCAGTCTAACGCTGTTCTCTGGAGTATATTTCGGATGCAGTGTTTTTATCGTAATCTGCATCGACTAGACTTACGTTTACTGAGCTGTCAGAATATACAGACTGCATGTATGATGACTGTGATATAACCCACTTTTCTAGGTAGTATTTTTATATAGGAAAAGTTTCATCAAATTTGAATATAGTTTGGGACATATGTGGAATCATGATTAATATGTATCCCATACATTGTGTATCAACTCTTTCACATTTTTGATAGTATGACTTGCTTATTTGACAAAAAACTTTTTAAAACAGCAAGAAGAAATCTGTTATCCAAATCAATTTTATTCTTCATTATTGGAGAAAACGATTTCTAGTTTTATGTCTTCGAGGCTGTAAAGGTGTCATTTTGCTGCTTGGAGTAAGTTTCCTATTTCGCATAATACTTGTACACACGCATATGTAAATATAAAAATAATAGGATATTATAAATTCAGTTCAAACTCAAAGTCTAGAAAACAAATATAACATAAGTACAGGAGAAAGATTAACATGGACACACTTGAAAACGTTAAAGATGTTCCGGAAAGGTAAGCATCTTTTGCTCCACCGAAGACACTCGCAATGTCAATCCAAGAAAGCAATGTCACCTCGTAAATAAATATCATGTTTGTAACGAGGAACAAGCAGATGCACAAACGATGACCGGACATGTCTACGTCATATTGAATTATGTAATAGGATATTTTCCAAAGAAATAATGATGGTAACAATAATATTTTACACGTTTTTGCTCAACCTCATTTTTCGAAACCTTGCGTTGCAAATGTAATAGAAGGGCTGTCACACGTCCCAGCACAACCTGTTCTCTCACACAATTTTCTCTCTTATGCAGTGCAAAAGATACAAATTTAGATTTGATACAAAAGCAGGGTTACTATGAAGAAAAGGAAAGTGCAGCCGAATGAAAACTGTCCTTGTTGGTTGCGTTGTTGGTAAACGGCGAAATGTACGACTTGTATAGAAAAATCAGTCTTGTTCTTGATTTCGAATATTTGAGGGTACATAATGGTAGAAATGATAAAGAAATATTATTATTCAAAGAAAAGACATCACCTATCTGTCTTAAAATGAAAAAGAACCTTTAATTGTTTTCTTACAAAGAAACCAACATCTTTATCGTGAATTTTCCATTTCTGGATAGATTAATACCTGCTTTGCTCACAAACAATTTACATGTCAAAGTCGATTCGATATTCAGGGTCTTTGTCCCAAATATCACAATTTCTTAGCAAGATGAACAAAAGGTTTGAAGAATATTGGGAAGTTTCATGGTCGCCACAATGATTTCATTTCAAAATAATTTATTTCTTTGTGCGATTAGTGTACCTGGTAATTCTGTTTTTGTTTACCTTCTCATATGAGAACGTGACATGAATTACTTGTATTGACAAATATTTACAGTACGGTTGTCGTCTATGATGCCTCGAATACCGACTTTATTGCGCTGGATATACTGATCATCCCAGCCAGTTACATTATATCAACAATAAATTTCAGTCTTTCTAGTCCCTAGGACAAAACTATCGAGAGCCAGGAGTGAGGTCGTGTCACGGGAGACATTGAGGAAATGAGACGAGAAACTATCATAACAAATTAGGTCGCTTTGTAGAGTGGAGACAGTAGGTAGATTTCTTACTCTCCAGCTACAAAAAGTGTCCATGGTGAACACATAGGCAAGAAGGAATTGTCTACCAGAAACGCACTAAATGAGTCCTTAGTTTACGATATCTTTGCTTTAAGCGTTCTTTTCCATAAAATAATTCCGGTTTAGTTCGTAACCATTTACCTACTGCGCCGTCCAGCTTTATTTGGAAAGAAATATTTATCTGTTCAATTTATATCTATTTTTTTTTATTTAGGATATTATTAACTGGAGAAAATCGTGACCTCTACACTATAGAAACACACTACTGCCTGGCGTGGACCCTTTATATAAACGATCTTAAACAAACGTTAAACTTAAAATGGCAAAATTTATTAGTTTTACGTCTAAACCATTTTCAAATAACCAAACTTTAAAATATGAATACAATATGTGTAAGGAACTAACAGCATCGTGGTATGACCTGATTTACTTAAGCAAACGTTCTGATCTGATTTGATGACCTTAACAACCAAAAATAGATGAAGGGATCGCTTCACTAAGTTAATTAATCATAGAAGATGTTCAGCTTATCGGCTTCCGTGTTTAATTATAATCTATTGCAACCAACCCCGAACTCTTAAACAGTCTGGCGTTTTGTGTTAGTCGCTCTACCAAAGACGCCGATTTGTTTGTTTCGTTTCTATCAAAGTTAGAGTCTTTGTCACAAGTGAATTGCCTTTATTTATTTCAATATACCGAAAATGCCGTATAAGGCAGCTCCGCTTATCTGAAAGTCGCTTTATGTAGATTTGTTTGATGACAGAAGAGAATCTGTCTGATGTGGCTCTGTCGCTCTGTAAGACGCTGTATCTGTCTTGTGAAGATCTTTCTTTCTGTTAGACGCCATATCTGTCTTATGAAGCTCCGTCTATCTGTAAGACGCTGTATCTGTCTTGTGAAGCTCCGTTTATCTGTAAGTTGCCGTTTCTGTCTTAAGTATCTTCGTCTAACTGTAAGACGCTGTGTCTATTTTGTGAAGCTCCGTCTATCTTTATCGTATTCAGTGTGAAAAAGTAAATTGTTTTCATTGATAAAACAAAATAAACTCAGAATACATCCATCTGCCTTCTCGCAACAAGTCTACAACTGTGAGAAAATGAAGAATAAATGATATAACAAAGATTTGAGAAGCTGGAGCCAGGTATCCAAAAGGGTGCGTACATTTCAACCAGTTCTCCAAAGAATAAATTGTTACGAAGTTATCCGGCAGGGTAAAGCGGTGCCAGATATCCGGAAGGGTAAAGCGTTGCCAGATATCCGGAAGGGTAAAGCGGTGCCAGATATCCGGAATGGTAAAGCGGTGCCAGATATCCGGAATGGTAAAGCGTTGCCAGATATCCGG